TGGTTGTGTGTGTGGTTGTGTGGTTGTGAGTGTGTGTGCAGCCTGCAGCGCCGCTCCGTGGTGTCACTGAGGCCTCGTGCAGCAGGCTGTTGTGTGTTTGCTGTGTGGAGGAAACAGCAGTTAGCCTGAGAAGCTGCATGACGCTAACAGGATATTAATCAGCTTCATCACACAGAGAACGGCTAGCTGCGCTGATTAGCCTAGCCTGCCGCGTGACTGACAGACACACACAGTCGCACAACAGACACACACTAATTCATGCATATAAGAGTATATATGTGCCACCCCATGCTGAGTAAATATGCAAATGAGCCACACAGACATACGGACGCATTAAATATAAAGACGTCAACACACACACACACACACACACACACACACAAACACAAACAACTAAAAGTTCCACAAAGGCGCACAACGTTTTCCTGGATGTTGCTTCACTGTGTGGATGATGTTCCGTCATCGTTCAGATTAAACGTTCAGTGTCCAATCACATCATGGATCAGAAGAACGCCGTGACTCTGGAGTCTGTCAGCGTCCACCCGCCGTCTCTGCTCTGACCTGTGTGTTCATCGAAAACCGCCTCATCCTCCCACTGATGACACCAGGGTCTGGTTCCATTTTATCATCTACTTCTGGATCGGTTGGTTCTTCAGGATTGTTCTTTATCCCAACAAAGGTGTCGGGTTTTACGTCTGCATGTGTCAGGGTCTGGAAGGTTTGACTGGAGCTGATCAGCATGAAGTTCTGCTGTGGTTGGGTCTCGGAGCTTTGGTTTGGTTTGAGTGGAACCAATGGACGTGTTGAGCTTTTGCTTCCTGGGTTCGGGTTAAGATCACATCCTGACTGAAAGGCAGAATCCTGATCCAGGACCTGAATCCTGATGCTCCCTACAGATTGAGTCGAGCTCATGAAGGTCAAAGGTCCAGCTCACATCTGTGCTCAGTCGGATTTGTTCAGAACTCAGTGAGTCCAATAAGAACCAGAAACAGTTCTGCACCTAGTGGAGGTTCTGGCAGGACTGGACCTCCAGAACCACAGGTCTGAGACGATGAGTCGGACCGTAGGCCAGGTCGCCACTCGCTCATTTTTCAGGTCGGCACAGAGACTGGTGTCCTGATGATGAAACGGAGCCGAACCTAGGGTTTGTCTCAGCCGGGCTGCGTTTGTGATCCTTGTCACAGCTCTCAGTGGGAAGCCATTGATTTCTGGCAGAAAGAGGCCGTGAGCTCGAGCAGAAATGAAGATTGGAAATATTGATAGGCGTCATTTGTATGGCAGGAGGAGAGAGACGCTGCGCCGCCGCCGAGGCGACGCGTCCTCAAGATCGTTTGTCTGTTTCTGGCGTTTGGACTAAAACGGGTTCGATTTCTGTTCTTCAGCTTATTACTGTACGGAGGTATGAGACGCAGCAGGGGTCAGCCCAGGTCGCACACACACACACACACACACACACCTACACATAGACAACAGACACACACACATCTACACATAGACAACACACACACACACACACACACACACACACACACACACACACACCTACACATAGACAACAAACACACACACACACACATATACAACACAAAGATAAGATACGACACAAAAATGATGAAATGAACTAAAAGCTAAAAAGACAAAACACTGAAATAGCCATAAATATATTATATTATATTGAATTACATTTTATTTTATTTTATATATATACGGGTGTGTGTGTGTGTGTGTGCGGTGCTGCGGCTGGGTTTCCTATCTCTGTATCTCTGTATCTCTGTTCTCCGTCTCTCCACCTCTGCTCGCTGCCTTCGGTCCAGGCTGCCTCTCCTTCTGTCTGTATTTATGTGTCCAGCTCTCTCCCCTGCTGTCCCCACTAGATGAACCTTCCTCCCCCACTGAGTCTCACCCTCGTCCCCCCTCAGACCTCCATCCTGCTCTTTGGCCTCCTCATCATCCTCCATCCATCCCTCCCTCGGTTCTATTCTCAGCTCTCCTTCCTCCTGCAGCTTTCTCACATTTCACAGCCTCCCCACAGGTTTCAGGACTTCTGACCCCTCAGGTGCTTCATTCACTCCCTAAAAACACCTGAACCAGAGAGCAGGTCTGTGCTCAGCCACCGGCCACAGCAGAACTACAGTATTTATTCAGCCGGGTCTCCTCAGAGGTCCGTCTCTGTTCAGCTGAACTGCATTCATAGCTGAAAACCGAACCTACAACAAAATGACACTAACGAGTATTTACTGCTCCTTGGAAATGGAATAAAGTGCCAAACCTCCAGCCAGGCTGGTGCTGATCCAGAAGGTTCCTGTCAGTGTCTGTCTATGGATGGATCCATGGTTCTACTAGAACCCAGTCTCTGGTCACATTTCACCAGCTGCTGAGGCTCTAACATCAGTAGAACCTGATGTGGTGAAGTTG